TTACTGTCACTCTCTTTTGAAATAATTAAAAATACTTGTAGATATTCYGTTAAATCATATTAATAATAAAAATAAAAGCATAGTGTTAAGTCCTTCCCTCTCATACAGTTCTTCTTAAGAGTCCTTCTCTCRCAGAGTTTTTCAACGCACAGTCTCCAAACTATATTTGGTCAGGAATTCAGTTATACGATGGATTTACAATTTTTWAATTAAATCTGTTCATGGTAGTCTTCTGTTTTCTAAAGAAAAATATCCTTGCAAACAACACTGCTCTGCCAGCACTCTGCATTATCAGTATGAAAAATAGAGTCAAGAAACTGATTTTGACTAGAAATAAGCCACAGTAAAATTCAGACTATTACAGGCCTTCAATTAAATGGGACACCTGCTTTTCCTCCCCCTCAAATTTGCAGTAAAGGTTGTTGTGGATACATATCTACATGCCTATTCCTACTCTTTATCCAGAGACGTCAAACAGTACCAGAGACTGGAATTACACACCCAAATCCCAGCTGCATGGACAGGAAGCAAAGCACACAAACGTTCACATCAAGAACTTGTTGCAACACAAGTGAAGAAACAGAAAGGAAGCCCAGCCTCTGTTTAGGAGCCAAGAAGAGTTAACTAAAGAAAACAATGATTCACAAACAACGTGCTGTGATCAATGAGGATCATACATGCAGATGCTAGGGCACGCACAGGGTAAGCTGCTCCTTGGAGAAGACAGGCAAATACAAAAATATTTTTGTGCTTCCACAGCAGCTAGATTTTCACAACTCCGAGTTTCAAATAGACACCTCAATACTACCTTCAGGTGAAAATTTATTAAAAGTTACATTTAAGACAGCTAAAATYGAAACAAAGTAAAACAAACCAACAAAACCCACTCAGTTTCCTTCATTTACAGTCTATTTCACACTTCTTTCAGTATGATCCATACTGGGTTAAGTGCAAGATAAAAGACACAGCCTGTGATATCAACTCAAAGTTAAATGTTTCTTAAATCTATTTTACTGAGCTAAAAATTACATTTGTATTATACTGTAAGAACCGTAAACTCAGTGAATTTGTGCAAGCATAATTCATTTACGGAAATGCCCTTTCCTTTCCATATAAGCACATGCCCTTTTTTCAGTCAAAGGGTAAAAAAAAAAAGAATTAAAAATCTAGAAAGAGTTTGAGCTAAACATATCAAATACTTTCAAATTCATAAGAGTACTTTTAAACAGAAATTATGCTACTACATTATGAGTTACATTCACATTATTGTGTTCCTTCACACATCTGAGTATACATTTTCTCTTAAGAAAACTGCAATAATTAACAGAATGAGGAAGATAGCTGAATGACTTTGGTGCAGGGAAAGAGGAAAAAAAAAAAAAAAAGGATTTTTAAAGAAATTTAGTCCCAATCAGGATACTGTTCTCTCTAAACACTGGAAAAGAGGCTGCCAAGACCTCACTGTTTGAGAAAGATCGGTGCTGTTTGTGAAATAATAAGATAAAGCTGACCAAAAGCTTTTTCCTGCTTCTGAAAAAACTACAGGCAAGTACATGCACACTCCAAGATTGAGCTTGTTTATAACTTTGTGCCAAGACCTTTCAGCATTTCAGAGCTCCGCAGGCAGCAGACTTCAGAATAGGYGTTAGCCTCCAGAAGACCTTCCCCACCCCTCAATGAAATGCTATGCATAGATGGACCAGAAAAAGCTTTTTTTCTGACCAAGTCTGAACTGTCAATAAAAATATTCTCCTGGAAAAAAAAAGTATATCAAAAGAGTCAAGAACTTGGTAAGCGTGAAAGCAAATCAGTTCAAGTCATTTACATTTAGCTAAAATTAGCAAAAGCACAGTAAATGACACAAATTAAACCACTTTATTATACCTGGGCCCCATAAGCACACTGGGGTAAATGAAACAGYATGTAGTTCACAGTTTAAACAGATCTAAACTTATTTCATGATTTTATCTGATACTAAGTGTTACAAAGGCKAATTTTACTGTTCATCATTAAAAAGAATTTTAAAAAGTGATACAGTCAGAATGTGGGTTATTAGGGACTTTTTAATGGTTTCCTATTTGCTTGCTGGGTTTGGGAGCTACTCTTGCAAGCAACCAACACCAAAACATTTTTTTTTTAAAAAATGTAAACCTTAGACACTTGCAGCATGTTTGTGTATCAAAGGTGCTGTTGCTGAAATAGCAATAAACATCAATAAAATGGTAGGTAGACTAGCATTAATGCACGAAGAAACTACTCAGAGAAAGGACTGAAAATATTTCCAAGTGACACAGACTAGAACAGACACCAATCCATGTGATACAATTTTAAAATAATTCCATTGATTCTGACATGATCTAGAAGCACAAAGGAGGTCAACTATTACAGATTTTTTTCCACTACTGGAAAACCACAATTCAGACTTGCTGCTAAAAATCGTCCAAAATTCAGACAACTGGGAATAATAAAGGAGTATTTAAGGAAATGGAGCATCAGGCATGCCGAGACATTCARAGCCACATGCAGAAATGAAGCTGCCTATAGAGCAGTTCACAGTTCATTTTTAAAAGACACTGTTTCAAGAACTCAGTAATCTCCCAAAGTGCACATACAGTCCAACTGTTTGGAGTCTAAATAGTAGTTTGAAGTCTCAGTTGTAGTTAACCAATTCATTATCCCTGCAGAATAATACACTGTTGTTTTACTTTCAAAAACTTGCTGTTTTTTAATACAGGAGCAGGAAAGCCTATCCACTTCTCTGCTAGTGTGTCCGAATAGCAACTTGCACGTAAAGGAACCTCTTTGGGTGTTTCTTATAAAAGCAAACATTTAGTAGACCTAAATGCTATAAACATTGTCTTAAAGGATAAGTGATAGCTGTCAGCTCCCATACTTTCCCGTTGACCAAATAACATGCCAGATAAGTTACCAAGAGTTAACTTTCAGGTAAATAATCACTAGAATAGCAACAGGTACCACATTATGCAGCAGACAAATTGCGCTAGGAAACAGAGTTGAAATAGGATTTTATGATGTGAACACACTGAAAGTGGTCCTCCTCCATTTAAAAATATACCTGTTATTCTAAACTTAAAATTTAACCCAGCTTCTTTGTAAAATAGGGAAAAAAAATGTAGGTAGGTGGCTATGGTAATCCTTGCTTCAGTCACCTCGTTGGGTAAAGAACATGTGAACAAGGTAGACAATTCTTTTTTTCCACATACTGATGCCTACTGGCTTCAATCTATTAACTATAATAAGAATAATAAAAAAACTCACAACTACTCTCAGCTATTCACCTCTGTAGATTAACAGAACTACACCACTAGTCAAGGACATGTAGTTTTTCATGGAGGACAAAAGTTTGCCAAAAATCAGCTCCCAGGAGAAGAGAGAAAGGCCTAAAAATGTTTCCTGTTCCCTTTATTAGACACTAGCTAATGTGCCATGCTCACGTGCATGAGATCAACCCATGGGATATGGGATTGGAAAATTCTTCTAGTACATCCTGGCACAGACCCGGGACGCTGCACCATTTCCTCGTGTTCACTTCAGAGGGCAGGAAGTTTGCTCTTCCATGCCACCTGGGACACAGAACACATTCTAACATTTTCTAGACAGCCTCACCATACTCATTCTCTACCCTGGAGCTTTCCCCCTCCGCTCAGGCTCAAAGTCCCAGCAACCAAATCAAACCTGATATAACTGATTACATCCTTCCTGTGAGCTACACATTTCTGGAAAAACTCTTGTGCTGGTTGCAGTGCTTATCAGAACCTGCCCTGAGCTGGTTTCAGTGTGCTAAACTAACAAAAAAAATACCCGGGCAGGAAAAAAAAAAATAAAAAGCAAACAGTTTCCTGCTGACTTAGCACACTGAAATGGCTCAGCACAGAGGCAGACAAATACGAGGGCCAACACGCGAGAGGCAGCAGCAGGATTATGGCAAACCCTGCAGCTAGGTGAGCCCCAGCTACACACAACTGAAGCCTCCATTTCCCCCATTCTCTGCCTAGAGTAACTAATAGTTTAGTCATGTGAAATCTGGAATCCTTTGGTCAAGCTTAAAAATAGGGGAAAGCATATGTAAGTGAAACACAGTGCCTACAATACACATGAGTTTACACCAAATATACTATTTTTTCCTGTTAAAATTGCAATCCATGAACTACAACAGTAGTTTCAGAGCCATAATCCACTCATGCGCAAATCAACTGGGCAAAGCAAGGACATCAAAGTTAATTCTGACACACACGCATATTTCCACTACTGAAGAACTAGGCTAGATTACAATACAAATCTTACAGGATAAGTGAATAATGGGTAGATATCATGAAAAGTTCAATACTGCAAAAATGGAAAGAATTACAGCAGTGACCTTCACCTAAACATTATATTAATTTGTTAAAAATGCTATAATTTTGTATTTCTTGTTTTTCCTTTTTTGGTCCCAAGGTCTTTTAT